CAAGAAATGGAACAGCTAGAGGAGAGTTCTTAGTCCTGGTCACAGTATTCTTGCTTTTTGCCTGCCCTCCCAGTGTTCTCAGATATGAGTCTGTAATTGCTTTGTTTCTAGAGAGACTTATTTGGGACTATTTCTTCCATTTTAGATAGCAAAGCCTACTTGGGGAACCCACTGCCATACTGAGAGATGACCATGGGTTGTAAAATTAGGGACCATCTAGAGAGGAAACATTTACCTGTGGAGTTTGGGTGTGAGAATAGAAACAGAAGATAGAAATTTGTACTCTCTAAGTAGTAGTGTTTGTGTGTTAATGTTACTATTTCAATATTCTTACCCACACACATAATGTGATTCCACTTTTCTTGCAAAAATTTGTTATAGTGTATCAAAATCATTTTAAATTAGTTTTGGAAATAGTCTAATTTAATTTGTGGTTAATATTGTACTACCTCTCATTTCTTCCTCTCAATACATTTAAACAGTCAACTCTTGGCTCTTTTACTAGGTGTTTTGAAAATGTATTGAAGATTTATCTAAGCTTCACATATTATATTAAAACCAGTTTTAGTAAAGCACTAAGACAATAAAGGGATACATGTGAGACATAAGTAGGATATTCATGTCATATAGGAAAAATATCCTTAAGAATATAGAGCACAAGTAATCTCAGAGATCTATTTCCTATTCTCAATATGGGCATCTTTGCTTTCCCTAATTTTTATACTTTGTTCTGTTGCATGAACAAATGCAGTTAAGAGTTGACTGTTCAAATGTATTGAGAGGAAGAAATTAGAAATAATCCGATTTTTCAACTTTAACAATTTGTGTACACTAAATATATATCAATGTTTTAAATGTCTCATTTTCACAGAAATCATTCATATTTATATGTAAATATGTACATGCATGTTTACATATATATGAATTCTTACAGTTTTGTGGCCTAATAATTTTCAAGACAAATGTCAAAAATATAATGTACTTACTATGTTCAAGAGATTTTTGCCTGTTTTCTTCTAACAACTTTATGGTTACATGTCTTACAATCAGGTTTTTGGTCCATTTCAAGTTTACTTTTGTGTATGAAATTAGACAATAATCCAATTTCATTTAGTTGCAGACAGCTGTCCAGTTTTCCCAAAACAAGTTATTGAAGAGGCTGTCTTTTCCTCATTGTATATTCATGGCTCCTTTACCATATAGTAATTAACCATATGCACATAGGTTTATATCTGGGCTCTCTATTCTACTCTATTTGCTCAATGGGTCTCTTCTTGTGCCAGTACCAAATTGTTTTGATTACTGGAAGTTTATAGTAGAGCTTGAAGTCAAGGAGCATAATAACCCCAGCTTCATTCTTCCTTCTTAGCTTTGCCTATTCAGGGTATTCTGTGGTTCCATATGAATTTTAGAACTATTAGTCATAGTTTGTTGAAAAATGCTGTTGGTATTTTGATAGGGACTGCATGGAATCTGTAGATTACTTTACACAGGATGACCATTTTGAAAATACAATTCTTCCTATCCATGAGCACAGGATGTATTTCTATTTATTGGTGTCTTCTTTAATTTCTCTCATGAGTGTCTTGTAGTTTTCAGGGCATAGGTTAGGTTCACCTACTTGGTTAGGTTTATTCCTAGATATTTTATTCTTTTTTTTCTATATTAGGTTCTTTTTGTTTATTTGTTTGTTTGTTTGTTTGTTTGTTTATATTAAGGTATGATTGATATATACTCTTATGAAGGTTTTACATGAAAAAACAATGTGGTTACTACATTTACCCATATCATCAAGTCCCCACTCATACTCCAATGCAGTCACTGTCCATAAGTGCAGCAAGTTGACAGAGATCCATTATGTGGCTTCTCTGTGCTACACTGTTCTCCCTGTCATCCCCCACACCATGTGTACTAAACATAATACCCCTCAGTCCCCTTCTCCATCCCTCCCCACCCGCCATCCCACACCCCTCCCCTTTGGTAACCACTAGTTCATTCTTGGAGTGTGTGAGTCTGCTGCCATTTTGTTCCTTCAGTTTGTTTCATTGTTATACTCTACAAATGAGGGAAGTCATTTGGCACTTGTCTTTCTCCACCTGGCTTATTTCACTGAGCGAAATGTCCTCTAGCTCCATCCATGTTGTTGCAAATGGTAGAATTTGTTTCTTTCTTATGGATGAATAGCATTTCATTGTATATATGTACCACATCTTCTTTATCCATTCATCTACTGATAGACACTTAGCTTGCTTCCATAGCTTGGCTATTGTAAAAAGTGCTGCAATAAATATACTGGTGCATATGTCTTTTTAAATCTGATATTTTATTCTTTTTGATGCAATTGCAAATGGAGTTGTTTTCCTGATTTATCTTTCTGCTACTTCATCCTTAGTATATAAAAATGTAACAGATTTCTGTGTATTAATTTTGTATCCTGCAACTTTCCTGAATCCAGTTATTAGTTCTAATAGTTTTATGGTGGAGTCTTTAGGGTTTTCTATGTATAATATCATGTCATCTGCAAATAGTGACAATTTAACTTCTTATTTTCCAATTTGGATGTCTTTTACCTTCTGTTTTGTTGATTTCCATGGCTAGGTCCACAAATATTATGTTGAATAAAACTGGTGAAAGTGGACTTTCTTGTCTATTCCTGATCTTAGAGGAAAACTTTCAGCTTTTTGCCACTAATTATGATGTCAGGCTGTGGGTTTTCTCATATGTGGCCTTAATTATGTTGAGGTATGTACCCTCTATACCCATTTTGTTGAGAGTTTTTATCATGACTGAATTATTTACAGTAGCCAAGGTGTGGAAGCAACCCAAGTGTCCATCAATAAATAAATGCATAACAAAGATGTGGTACATATGCACAATGGAATATTGTTCAGCTGTAAAGAAGAACTGCTGCAATTTGTAACAATGTGGATGGACCTAGAGGGTATCATGCTCAGTGAAATAAGCCAGGTAGAAAAAGACAAATACCATATGATTTCACTTATTTGTGGAATATAAAAACAAGGCAAAACCAACTAAAGGGCAGTAGACTCATAGACACTGAGAAGTCCCTGGTGGTCACCATGGCGGAAGGGTTGAGGTGGGTGGGTGGGGAGAGTGAGGGGCATAAAGGGGCACAAAAATTCTTAATCATAATATAAGTTGGTCACAGGTATAGTACTATAGCATACAGAACATAGTCAATGATTCTGTAACATATCTCTATGTTGACAGTAACTGTTTTAGTCGGGGTGAGGATTTAATATCATGGGTAACTGTTAAACAATTGTGTTGTATATTTGAAACCAACATAAGATTGTATACCAATGATAATACAATAAAAAAAAGAAAAATGTAATGTTGTATACGAACATTCAGGAGAAATTTATAAGATTGAGAGAAACTTGATAACAATCTTGGTATGTAAAGAAACAGATTCTTGTACTGTAAACGGATACTATTCTTTCACTAGTTTTGCAATTATCATCTTTAGTCCAACATCAGTGTTGCTAAACAGCAAACTGAGAATATCCTACTAACTGGCATTGAATTAAGTGATTTTGCCATTGTTAAATTTTCTACGGTGTTCAAGCAAAATGAAAATGATAATTTCAGTATTTTCTGTTACCTTCACTTGTGTAAAAGTATATTGAACCTGGTGAGGAAATTTGGTATAATCAGCTTTAATTGTACTGTACAAATATATCATCTATTGTTTTTCAGGTGATCTTTATCCAAACTTTACTTATTTGGTTTCTTTTTTGTCTGGCATGAATACATCCTACCTATAAGCATATATATAATTATATATGTATATATTCCATTACATATGTTTATATAAAAATCACTGTGAAACATGGCTAATTAATATTATAGTTTATTTAATTGACCTTTATTATCCAAGCCAAAATATTTGTTTTGCCAGCCACCTGATCTTCTCTGCTTTTCAGAGTTTTCTTTTTTTTTCTCTGTTTTGTGATGTTCTTTCTTTTTTAATTTGAGTCTCCTGTTGACTTATGAAGTAGACATAACAATTCTGTTTCATCTGGTGCTTTCCTTTATGCTTTCCAAAAATGACATTTATACTACATTGTAACAATTTTTAACATCTATTATGAAATTTAATTCATTACACGTTAATCTACTTACTCAAAAACATTTATTACAATCTAATATGTGCACAATGTCTTGATAGACAATGCAAATACAAATACACACACAGTATGCCCAAATATTAAGGGTTTGATTAAATTGTGGTTGATATAGGAATATGAATGCACGTATATATGATGAGATGAAACCCAAGGATGAGGCGTCATAAAACGTGTAAGGGTCAAATCCAATATTCACTTTAAAAGTGAGATCCTAGGGTCCTTCTACTAGTCAATGTCAGGATCACTGGCAGCCAGTCGTATATTTCTGCAGAAAGTAGGTTGGTGGATTCTTCACTGGAAAAACTGAAAGTCCCTGAAAAAAGACCTATAAACAGTGATAACAAAGGATGTTTATAATGAAGCAAAGGAGTCCCTACAAGACTCTCAAATTAAATGATACCAATTGACGCGATCACTCATCACCTGGAGTTTCAAATCAGCTTTCTAAAGGATCCTTATTAAGTAGGAATTGATAGTCAAAGATTGAATGACATTTGAGAAAGTTTCAAAGTTAAAGTTAAAACAAAGTAAGCTAACAAAAAATAAATGATTGAACTTAGGAGTTGTGAAACAACATATATGAGGCAAAATAGATATATTTATGTAAATATGTAACTTTTTTATCTTTCATCATTATGTGAATGTATGGAATTTCATAAAATAAGATTAATATATCTGCCATGTCTCCACCAACACTGCCCCTCTGTAAATATATTTTAGCCACAATAATTTTAAGCACTGTGTTATATTATGTCCTTAGTATTTGACATATTGAAAAGGAAAGAAGAAGCAGCATGCACTTGGTAAAACATATCATGAATATTAACAATGAATATTTTTTCTTTGTGAGAGATGTTCCAGGATCCCAGACATTCCAACGGATCTAAGGTCCAGGTCTCCGAGTTCCTCCTGATGGGGCTCCCTGGCATTCACGAGTGGCAGCACTGGCTCTCCCTGCCCCTGGCTCTGCTCTACCTCCTAGCTCTCACTGCCAACATCCTTATACTGATGACCATCAATCAAGAAGCAGCACTGCACCAGCCTATGTACTATTTCCTGGGGGTCCTGGCTGTGGTAGACATGGGCCTGGCCACCACCATCATGCCCAAGATTCTGGCCATCTTATGGTTCAATGCTAAAGCCATCTCTCTCCCAGAGTGCTTTGTTCAGATGTATGTCATACATTGTTTTGTGGGCATGGAGTCAGGTATCTTCGTCTGCATGGCTATAGATAGATATGTAGCCATTTGCCAACCACTACGCTATCCATCAGTAATTACTGAATCTTTTGTAGTCAAAGCATCTGTGTTCATGGCACTCAGAAATTCCCTCACTACCATCCCGGTGCCCGTGTTGGCTGCTCAGAGACACTACTGCTCACAGAACCAAATTGAGCACAGTATGTGCACTACTCTTGGAGTCACCAGCCTAGCCTGTGATCACACGACAATCAATAGCCTCTACCAGCTAGTTCTGGCCTGGACTCTCATGGGAAGTGATCTGAGTGTGGTTATTTTATCTTATGCTCTGATACTTCAATCTGTGCTGAAGCTGAAATCAGCAGAAGCTGCCTCCAAGGCCCTAAGTACCTGTACTTCCCACCTCATCCTAATCCTATTCTTTTACACAGTCATCATTGTCCTTTCCATCACCCATAGTTCACCAATGAAAGTTACCCTCATCCCAGTTCTACTCAATGTACTGCACAATGTCATTCCTCCTGCCCTCAACCCCATGGTGTACGCTCTCAAGAACAAGGAGCTCAGGCAGGGTTTATATAAGGTTCTTAAGCTGGACACCGTGGGTAACCAATGATTGCATCAATTTCTCACCTTTTTAATTTGTCCAGGTGTCTGCTAAATACTATGCAACAAGTACTTAATGACAGAAGAACTAAGGAAAAGTGGCAATGCAGCAGCTTTTCAGTTATTATATGAATCAGTGGCAACAACTGAACTAAGAAAAAACAGGTGACACATATTTGAAATCTTTGGGTTTCAAGGAAAAATCATAATAAAAAAGAGCAACATCATGAAAATTATTGTCTCAAGGGATCCAAGAGAAATCCAAGTGGACTGTGCTTCCTAACTTCCTCAGACCTCTCTTGCTGCTTCATACATCTCTTCCCTACACGCCTCTTCTGCACTTTCCCTGCTTCAAAATATCTTTCCTCATTTCTAAGTTCATAAAGAAGAAATACTTGTTTTGTGTGCCTGGAGTCAGGTATCTTCATCTGCATGGCTGTAGATAAATATGAAGCCATTCCTTCATCACTGTGTTATCCATCAATCATTACTGAATCTTTTGTGGTCAGAGGAACTGTGTTCATATTGCCAAATCTGATTATGTTCATTAGCCAAAACAGTTCAGTATCAGTTAGAATATTTTTTCTATCATGATTGCACAGTGAAGCATTCTCACTGCCCATGTTTGGTTTGGAAAATCTTTTCTGGAAGAATTAACTATTGCCCAAGAGCCGTATTCCTCATGCCACACTCAATAAAGAGAATAAATAAAGCCATTGGATACCAGAAATAAGAACTAAAAATCATGGGAATAGTACAGTTTTAATGGACTACTAAAATATTGACATGAAGATCTAGTAAAAATCTCCATGAACATCAATTTAAAAAGATATCTGTATAATTTGGTAAACTTTTAAAAATTATAGAATATTGAGCACCTTCATATTTTCATATTTTGAACTCAGGGCTCTTAGAATTATGAAGCTACTTTGAGACTTGTGTACTTGTAAGGTGGCTTCCACATGTTCCAGGTTGATAAATTGGGAAAGGATGTAAGGGAATTTCCCCAAAAAGGTAGGAATGCTACTGGGGACAGTCGGCACTAAGAAAGCAAAATGAACAAAACATACAATGCAATTTATATGAAGTGGGGATGCACTCTCACAATTTTATGGGTATAAAACATACAGCAAGCATTATGAATGAAAAAGTCTTAGGACTGTTTGTCATATGGCCAAAGTCAAGGTTACACTATCCTTAACAAAAATTTTCGGTGATTGGAACAAAAGACCTGGATCATGTTCAGGATTATTTTTTTTTTGTCTTTTTTTAATGCTATTCTTCTTCTATCACAGACAGTTCATTTTTTTTTCAAGGGGCTTTATTTACTCAAAGCCATCTTCCTTATTCAGTCCAACCTTATTTGGGGCCCTCGGTCATTTCACAGCCAGCCCAAATCTGTTTTTTATTTACTGTTTATTATTTATTACTCTGCAAAACATTTAACTGTTGAATTGACATCAACTGCAAAAGTGCTGGTGATAAAATAGGGGGAAAAATAGACAGTAGCAGAAATAAGCCCTAAGCAAAATATGAAACAGAAAATATAATTACAAAACTCAGAAAGAGAAAATCTTAACATGCTTCCTAAAAATTGCTACAATGAGGATTCAAATTTCCTACAACCATTTTGTCTATAAAAAGAAGGAATTCAAATTAAAAGTTGCATAGAGCTTAATGAAATCAAGTGGTTCTGGGCAGGCTCAACTGATATTCAGAGGGGAGAGGCATTCTTTTTCTCCTCAATATAATATATTGTTATAATTTATGCCATTCTTAATAGCATCATCATTATCATCATAATAGTTGTTTCTTGTTATTTCATGTAGTCTACCTTACAAAACAAAAATAACAAAAAAAGAAGATTTAGATAGAGCAATTTTATGAGGGTACAATATCGTGATCTTTATCAACTGGTGTAAGTTCTGTATTATTCTACTCTGTTTCAGAATAAAGTTGCAAATATATAGATGAATGCAAGGATTGGACCCCCTTTGGACAACCCTTTATTAACATCAAATCCATCTGGACATTTTATTTATTTATTTATTTATTTTTATTTTGGTATCATTAACCTACAATTACATGAAAGACATTGATGTTTACTAGGCTTCCCCCTTCACCAAGTCCCCCCCACATACCCCTTCACAGTCACTGTCCATCAGCATAGTAAGATGCTGCAAAATCACTACTTCTCTTCTCTGTGTTGCACAGCCCTCCCTGTGCCTCCCCACACTATACATGCTAATCTTTTTCCCTGCTGTTATACCTCCCTTCCCACCCATTTTCCTCGGTCCCTCTCCCTTTGGTAACTGTTAGTCCGTTCTTGGGTTCTGTGATTCTAATGCAGTTTTGTTCCTTCAGTTTTCCTTTTTTCTTATACTCCACATATGAGTGAAATCATTTGGTACTTGTCTTTCTCCGCCTGGCTTATTTCACTGAGCATAATACCCTCTAGTTCCATCCATGTTGTTGCGAATGGTAGGATCTGTTTTCATCTTTTGGCTGAGTAATATTCCATTGTGTATATGTACCACTTCTTCTTTATCCATTCATCTACTGATGGACATTTAGGTTGCTTCCATATCTTGGTTATTGTAAATAGTGCAGCGATAAACATAGGGGTACATCTGCCTTTTTCAAACTGGAGTGCTGCATTCTTAGGGTAAATTCCTAAAAGTGGAATTCCTGGGTCAAATAGTAAGTCTATTTTGAGCATTTTGAGGAACCCCCATACTGCTTTCCACAATGGTTGAACTAATTTACATTCCCACCAGCAGTGTAGGAGGGTTCCCCTTTCTCCACAACCTCACCAACATTGGTTGTTGTTTGTCGTTTGGATGGTAGCGATCCTTACTGGTGTGAGGTGATATCTCATTGTGGTTTTAATTTGCATTACTCTGATGACAAGCGATGTGGAGCATCTTTTCATGTGTCTGTTGGCCATCTGAATTTCTTCTTTAGAGAACTGTCTATTCAGCTCCTCTGCCCAGTTTTTAATTGGATTATTTGCTTTTTGTTTGTTGAGGTGCGTGAGCTCTTTATATATTTTGGATGT